CCTCCACCGCCTCCGCCTCCTCCCAGAGGCCCCCGGCCCCCTCCCCAGCCGCAGCCGCAGCCCCGGCCCTCCCGGCGGCAGAGGCGGCAGCTCCCGGCACCCCCAGGTACGGGTTCCGCCAGGCCCGGGCGCGGAGGGCGGACGGGACCCCGCGGGCGCCGGGAGGGATTGGCCGGGCGGCGGGGGGAGGCGGGCGGAGAACATGGCGCCGGGGAGCGGCGCGTGCTGAGGCGAGCGGAGCCGGGCCGGGCGGCGGCGGGGAAAGGCCGGTGCTGGCGGTGGGGCCGCCAGGGATATGCGGCAGCGGCTCTTCCCTGTGCTGAGCCGGGCTCTGCCGGGCTGGACGCGCCCCTGGGCCGCCCCGGCCTCGCGCTCTTTCCCTCAGGGCTGGCGGCGGAGCTCTCTCGGGTAGGGTGCGAGTGCTGCGGGGCTGGGGCAGGGCCGCGGGTCCCGGGGCCGTGTGACCCGGGGCCGTGAGGCTGGAGAGCCCCCGCGGTGTTGTGTAAGAGGCGGCGGCGCGGCCGGGCGGGGGCACCTTGTGAGTCCAGGGGAGTGCCCGCCCTGCCCCGAGTGCGGCGGGGAGCCGGGGCAGCTCGGGCCGCGGAGCGGGGCTGGCGCCGGAGCTTTCCGGGCAGGCGGTGGGCGAGCTGGGGGCGGCGGGGCCGTGTGTGCCGAGGAGGCCTGAGCCCTGCCTTGTGTCCTGCTCTGCTGCCCGGGAGAGCCCGGACTGACGTGCTCCGGTGTTTGCGGCTGCACCTCCTTTGACAAAGCAGGCTTGGTCATCAAGCGTGTGGCTTTCGTTGCCCGGGGGCTTGCTTTGTTCTCCTTCCCTTTCAAAAAACCTCCCTGAATTGTCTTGTTACTTAACTTGCCATGTCTTCCTAAGGCATAATTATGAAAAAGAAAAAGAAAAAAAAAGTTTAAAATCTTTAATAAGAGACTGCTTTCAGTTACCCAAACTTGATGGGAGCGGCCTTTTCAGTTTCTGACGAGTTATCTGGCAGTGGCATGGTGCGGGGCTTGTTGTTGCGTGTTTGTGTTAGCAGTGTCACCAGTGTCTCCGGTGGAGAGAGCGCAGCTAACCCCGACCGAGGGAGCAGCGGGCGGGAGGCTTGGCACAGCTCAATTTTAGGGGCAATTTAAACTGCGTAACAACTCGGCAAAGTTTGTCCGGGAAGGGAGCTAGGGTCAGGGACAAAGGCTAAGTTGTTTTCTTTCTTTAATTAACACTGTATCTGTTACCTTAGTAGCCAAACCTATATTTAATACTGCACGAGTTAGAGGCGTCAAAAGTAGCATCTTTCCGGGGAAAAAAGTGAGTTATGATGACTCATACTGTCGGTGCTCGTGTGTCAAAATTCGGATGCACTGTTACTGTTCATCATTGCTATTTATGCTTCAAAATTGTACAGGTAATCCACAGTGTACATTCGGAGCCAATGCTTTTCTCAGGCTGTAGTTTGTCTTGCTAGATTACTTACTCCTCTTTATGCATGTGAATATATGCAGCATTTGGACTTAACTCTATGTGTATGAGTAGGCCTGTTATGTTTTCATACTGCCTACAACCGTGACTTAATCATCCATTTAATTTTAATTGTGAATTAGGATTTACATAAATGATAATGAAATGAGAGCAGGCATAGTTCTTTCATGTGATAATTTTTTTGAGATGTGAAAATTAGAATCTTTTTCTTCAGTTGCATGTTCCCTGTTTCCATCTCTGTATTTTGTTAATGCTTGAACTTTTTGTAATGTTTTTGACTTTCATCTTTATGTCAAGTTGCAAGATAATTTCTCAGTTACAATTTACCTCCTTTTCCTCTGATGTACAGCATTAAAATTATCTATTCTATTTGGGAAGCCCCTAGAAGGATTCTTATTTCTATGTTTGCCTGCTTTTTTTGCTTGCTTTCTGCTTTTTGTCTTCAGTCAGTGTCAGGCTGTGGTCTAATCCCTTGGATGAAATGGCACCTTTGGGAATTGATTGAAGGGTCAAGTATGTAATTTATTTTGCACATGAATACAGAAGCACTCCCCTCCCCTGTAAGATCCAGAAGAAAGAGGGAAGGGACAAGAAGTTCATTACCTCTGTTTCACTGTACTGGAAGGTTTTAGGCTTCTAGCTATAAGGGTCATTGCTGGTTATTGTAGAAGGCATTTACTAAAAATACAGTCAGACCACTTGAGAAATGGCATGCGGGGTTGATATTTTTAATATATTAATTCTGTTGGATTTGATGCTTTTATAGTAACTTTAGTGTCCAGTCTTCTAGCAGCATAGAAATCAAAAAGTTCATAATAAAAATCTAGAGAAATTGCTTTAATCAATTTTGTGTCTGGTTTTGTATTTGTATATACATGATCTGTCAGTGAGTATCTTTGCTTTCACCTTTTATGATGCCCATAATTTGCTAAAATATTCTTACCACATAGTACTGTAGGCATATAATAAGGTGATTTTTGATGGATCCTGTTTGAAAGTTGCTTCACTACAGCTTTCTATTAAAATCTTACCTTCTGCACCTTGTTTTTAGAATGAGTAAGAACTATAGCTCACCTGAACAATTGATATGGAAAAGAATGTGGTAGAGCTCAAAGTTTGTTTATAATTTTAACAGTAGAACCAGAATTGTCCAAAATAGTAAAAACTAAATTATAAAATAGGTGAACAGCCAGCACTTCATTTATTGAAACACACTGCTGACTCTTGTAAACTGCTCATTGTTATGGGTTTGTTTCTCATGTCAGAGCTCTAGTGTTAGATAAATGGTTGCTTTTAATGTGGGATTACAGTGCTTTTAATAATTCAGAATTCTGATTTCTCTCTGTTTTTGTTGCTAGATCAGATTTTCTTGCCAGTTCTCTCATCTTTCTGTGAATTTCTTGTTGTTATGCAGTATAACTGAAGTTTTAATCTCATCTTGTTTTTTGTTTGGTTTTTTTAATTCAAACCTCACAAGTTTCTCTTTTTGAAAGTGTAAGACAGATGGTAGCATAAAGCATTGAGTGAGTTGGCTTTACAGAGAGTTTTGGGCAATCTGATGTGCTGCTTGCACATAAAATCTATGAAATACACATCAGAACACAGAATAAAGCACAGAGATCTCTCCTGTAGCATCCAGTTTAACATTTCCCGCTGTGTGTGCAGGGCCACGCGTAGACACAAACACAGTCCTGGGGTTGTGGAGCAAGCCCTGCAACTGTAGGGTGATAGAAGAAAAATGTCATGGGAAGGAAGAGAGAATGAGATCCCCTGGTCTGCAAGTATTCAATGGATAAAGCAGTTAATTGAATTAATGAGTTTATTTCTTAGGAAAATCTGTAAAATACACTTTGAAGCAGTTGGTCACGTAGCACAGAAACTAGTCTGAAACCAGACAGTTATGTTCTTAACATGCAATTTGTAAATACTGATGTAAGCCAGATTGCTATGCCAGATCTGTGAAAATTTAATGATACTGTATTTTAATGGTATCTAAAGATTAAAACCAGATAATTTTACTTACACCTTCTCGTCCCCCAGCTCTTCCAAATAATCGGACGCTTCAAAACCCTTATGGAATTTTGTAAAATATTGAAGCGAAGAATTGTTAGGGAAAGATTAATTGTCCTGTTTCTGGTGAATGTGTTTACTTTGGAGGTTTGGATGAATTGTTTGGGGCAGTTTTTGAGGACATAGGAAAAGTAAGCTCAAGTAATTAAGAGATTAAAAAAACCTTGTTATCCGTTATTGCTCTGTCTAACATCAAATTTTATAAGGTCCTACCTTTTTGTTTGACTTTTTTAATCCAGTGCTTTGAAAACTGTGAAGTGGTCAAGTTAAGGTCTGTAGATTTAGGGCAGTAAACTAGCTTTATGGTGTCTGATTGTATATTCCATCTTGTTTGGCCAGTGCATCATTGTAATTACCAGGCCAGTTACTCAGCTGGGGCTGATCTCACATGTGAAACTCCCAGGGCCCTTGTTTTTGCCAAGGTCACACGTGGTGTGGTCTCATTAATGCTACTGGTAATTCCTGTACACCGGTGTTACACACCATTGTTTCTGCAGTCACGTTGGCAGTGCAGCCTGTGGCAGACCAAGTTTTACTGCTGTGATCTAGAAGTTGTAGAGGCTGGGCTCTGGGAAACAAGAGCATGGCAGGCATCTGCCCTGGCCACCATCATTAGGAGGGAATTTTCTGAGTCAATTACAGACTTGGCAAAAAGCTGCAGACTGAGGTTCTGAAAATGCTTTAATTGTAGAGAGACTTTAGAATTTCTTCAAAATAAACTACATAACAAAACCTTATAAATATTCATAATCTTCAGACTTGCCTGATTTGGCATGATTAGTTGTTCTTAATAACTTGGGAACACTGATTAAATCATTGTGGGACTTTGTAGTTGGACCTTTTGTGTATGAAGCAGTATGCTGAATTCCTTATGAGTTTAAAAGTGATAAAACACGTTAGCGTTTTGAGCACTTCATCCTCTTACGCAGTCTGTCTGCCTGTGCTTGCAATCACAATTCTTTAGATCAGTATCAGGAATGTGTTGATCTCATACATTCTCTAGCTTCATGGCAAGCAAATTCACAAAAGACTGATGCTTTATGGATGTTGAATAATGAGGTATTTTAATCTCTAAGTGTCTAAAAGAGCAATTGATGAACATGTAAGCTGAAAGAGTATGGATAGTCTCCTGAAGAATCCCTTTTGGTAATGTTCAACCTGAATTGATTTAACTTTCCTGCCTACAGTTCAGTCTAAAAAAAATTATTATAACGTGCAGGTGAATGGAAATGTTAAGAGAGTAGGTAGATTCTTGATTGTTTTACTGATAACATAATTCTGCTGCTGTCGTGATCAGGAGTAGGTGCAAGAGACAAAAAAGAGGGGTGCAGACCTGTGCAAGAATGCAGATTTACATGGTTGTTGCAAAGCCATGAGCTTGCAGCTGAAGACGTTCATGGGCTCCTCCAGAGTGCTCAGTTTGGTGCTGTCATCCTTGTAAGAGGTGAGAAAACTCTGGCTGGTAGTTCTGCAGCACTGGGCCTCCTGCCAAAGCACACAGCACTTCTTTCACTCCATGCACTGGCAGCTGGAGAAGTCTTCCTGTAAACCAAGATAGATTAGTAAACAGCACAGAGAACATGTTACCAATGGTAACTCCCTTGCAGGACAGAACAGAGGTTCTCACTCAATTAAGGTTTCACTTCACTCTGGTAAATTGTAAGCAGTTAGTTGCATAAAAACTTGTAGCAAACGTGCATTTTAAGGCAATTGGTAGAAAGCAAGCAGCAAAACCTGCTGGGATGTTCACTTGCCTGTCATCTGGAGCAGACCTGTGTACTAGCACTTGACTTCAGTATGTGTATACTGTCATGACAAAAAAAACCTTGAGAAGCACTTTGGAGTTTGTGCCTTGGGGGTCATATTTTTATTAGCTAGTCACATTCTTGCATTGAAGCAACCCTCAGGAGTTTCTGTTAATTGGTTTTCAAATATGGTCCTTTAATTGTTCAAACATTGGACTTAGATTTGACTACACAGGCTAATTTTTAATTAAAGTAATTTTGCTAAAATAACTCTGAGAGATTAAAATAGTGAAGCAGAATCATATATCACTTAATCCCACTCTGTAATACTCTGTTTGCAGGTGAAACCTGGCATCCCCAGAGAGCCTTGCTGCTTCCAAGGGACTGCCTGCCTGGAAATGATTACAAAAATGGAACCTCAAAAAATAGAATATAATCTCACTAGAAGTACTGTAATTGAAATTCAGTGTTGGTTTTAACTGATACTTTCCTTGTACAAGTGAAGTAGTTTTGATGAGGAGGAAGAATATTTCCTATTCATTGAATAGGGACACTGTTCTCAGCTCAGACATTCCCTGTTGTTTTTTTCTTTCTACCTCTGTAATCTTTCCAGTGGAAGAATTTCCGCTGCCACAGTAATGGTTTGTGTTATTCCTGCTATTTTAGCTTTATTGGCTCTTTCTCTGTTGCTTCTGCTTTGTGAAAATAGTAAGGCAATATTTCTTTTGATGTTTTTGTTAGGCTGTTAGCTCTGCAATAAACATAGCACCTTCTTTGTGGAAGAATTGTTTTGCTGCTGACCAGCAGCATCCAGTGCTCGCTGTAATGACAGTACAGCAAGTAGCTGTAGCACATGGACTTTAGGACAGCTTCTGAACATGGCCTTAGAAATAAAGCTACTTCTCAACAAGTACAGGATTTCTGGTTTTCTTGATTTTATTTTGCCTGTGTTTAAAAGCAGTTCTGTTGTCAAAAAGTGATTGATAGAGTTCTAGGATTCTGGTGTGAAAGAATGGAATGTGGTATTTTATAACACAATTGCACTTACTTAGAAGCTGCACAGGAAAACAGTCATATGAGGGAATGTTTAGTATTGAATCTTACAGTTTACTCCTTAAGAAAATGTAATGGTACAAAAGTTTTCTCTAAAGTGAAATTTTTTCTTCTCACTTTTGTATTGTAGTAACATATCAGCAGGAGGAAGAGTATGAAAGCAGGAAGGTGTTGGTCTTGTCCTCTTGACGTATTTGCCTTCCAGGAGTATCGCATAGTTGATCAGCCCTTGCTTTTATTCGAGTTGTCGGGTACTATGATTCACTTTGCAGGAAAAGAATCGTAGGTAATCATGCAAACCCATTTGAAGTTAGAGCATGTTGTATTCACAGTGCCCACTGAAATAACAGTGAAGGTGGAGGTACAAATTTCAGTCCTTGGTTTGAAGGCTTAATTACTGATGTCATCCTTTTGAAAATTGTAGCTTTTTCCTGTACTGGAATTTCACTACCAAGCTGGAAGTAGCCTATGAAGGAGGCAGAAGTAGGGAATCATAATAAAATGAAGTGGAGGTGTACAGCTTCACGAGACACCAGTTGAAATCTCATAAGGTTTCATAGCTGCGTAATTTGATGAATCACATTGGAAAGATGAGTCATCTGAACAAACAGTAAAGTTCTGTGACTTAGTGATGTGGTATAGAAATAACAAGGAGATATATCAGATGATAAGGAAATTGTATAACATTTAAAAAAACCCCACAACTCGAGTAGTTTATAGTATATATGTGTCTTCTGACTGGCAACTAGTATCTTATTGAGATAGAATATTCTAGCTGAAAACCAAGGTCTAGGTGTTCATTGGCAGACATGGAATCAGGAGCTTAAGGGACGTCCTTGTTCTCCTGCATACTTAGATCTGTCAATCCAACCTGTGTGCAAGTGAAAAACAATTAGGAACAGTTTAGTTACTGATTTTCGTATATGAAAAGTATGTGCACTCAAAAAATTCTACACAGTAGCTTAAGTTTGGTAGAGTATTTCTTAAAACTCTGTACACAGAGGCATCTTTTAATTGTTAGCATGGCTTGTATCAGTGCTGTTGATGCAGAGAAACAGAGATGTGGTACTTGGAATAATCTTTGTATTTCAATGGTATGTGCATTTTTTCAGTGCAAGAAGGCCATATACATTCCAAGCAGGATTAGCCTAAGCATGGGGGTTAAACTAGTGGATAAATGACCAGTTTAAATGTGAGTATACACATTTAAATTGAAATTCAGCATTTCAGCTGTTTAGTGATTACATTTGATTGCACTTTTGTTTTTTATTTTCATAGTGAGAGAATGATGTTTTACTAGTTTGTGTTTCCTTCTAAAATGCATTGAACTGCACATTTTAGAAAGTTACTTGATATTGTTTATAGCTTTTGCTTGGAGACACTCAGACTCTGAATCAGTCACACTTAGAATCTTAGCATTTCAGAATTATGCCTTTAAAGAAGGGTATCTTGTAGCATGTGTTAAACTAATGGTAGAAGTTTAAATAAGTGAGACAATCTATTCCTGTTTATCATGGCAGTTCTGCAGTCTTTGTATTTTTGTGGCACTATTGCAAAAGTGTTGCTGTTTCTTGCTTGAGTGTATAAATCCAGTGGTCTGTTAGTAAAATTTTGTTTATTTGACAATCAGAGACAATTTTGACAATTTGACAATTACAACACTTGTAATATAATCAAAAATTCAGATACATTAAATACTTTCCTGAAGTTTGAAAGTATACTTGAGATAGCAGTATATGCTTCATTTGATTTAATTTTTATCATAATCGAATAAGGGGTTGACATTTATTAAGTTTGGGTTGTTTCAATTAATGTGATACTTGAAGCATTCAATTAAGTGATCTACGTCTTTATTGTGTTTTGTGGTCTTCAAGGTTTCTTTTTTGTTTTAGCAGCAATATCTTTCAGGATCTGAATTTTAGGCAAGTGAATTTTGCATGTAATAGAACTTCTAGCTGTTGGTATTGTCCTGTATTGTCTAACATAATATCAAAAAATTAGCAAGGCTTAAGTGAAAATAATAAGAAATTTCTTCTTTTTCCTTTAAGGTTTCAGAAGGAGTCAAGCAACAAAATGAACAATCCAGCTATTAAGAGAATAACAAATGAAATTATCAAATCACCTGAGGATAAACGAGAATATCGTGGACTGGAATTGGCAAATGGCATTAAAGCTCTTCTCATTAGTGACCCCACCACAGATAAGTCCTCAGCAGCGCTTGATGTCCACATAGGTATTCAATTCATATTGTGTTAATTATGTAATTAACAAAAATGCTTCAAGTTTTGGTATCTTGATGCAAATAAACTGACAGGAGTGGTATGCAGTCGGGAGCCTAGCCTTTTACTGTAATTTATAGTTTATTCTTTTACACACCAAGTTCAAAATTATTGGAGCTAAATGCTCTTACTGTACTCTGTGTTTACTCAAGTGTAGCTCAGTCAGTTGAAAGACTGCTTTTAACCATTAAGTTTCATGTTATGAAAGATCTTTTGTAAGCAGAAGAGGGGTGGGTGCAAGTGCAATTATTTCAGACAGCTCCATCTGTCATGTCAGACTTTTTTTTTCATGCTAAGTTGTTGATGTGTAGAGGTGAGAAAATGCTGTAGTGCTAGAGAAGTTGGAGAGGCACTCCCTAACTTCAGTGGTGCCTATGTGTGCAAACAGAAATATGGGAAGTATAAGGGGAAGGCAATTGCTTTTACTCTGGAATAATGAAAGCCTTTTCTTATATCTGAGATATGTCTCAAGCTTGTGTAGTTTTTCAGTTGATTGGAAAGTAAGATGCAGTGTGTGCATAACCAAAACACCCTCTTGCCATGTCTGTAGTTGGGAGGTCTTGCTGCTCTTTGTGTTAGGGCAGAAGTAATAGAGGGACTTCAAAAACTTCTGGCCTTTCTTGTTGCAGTGATGGCTGTCCCAGATCATTATCTAGTTCAGAGCATCCTGAATGTGGTTTTGTTTAGGTCCTGTGACAGTGATGGCCAGCTGCAGCATCCAGTTCCTGCCCATGTGCTGGAGGAGATGGATCTGTTGCCTGTCCCACTACACATTGCTGCACACTCTGAGGCGGGACTGCCACTCTCTAACTTTGTTTCCATTCTTCCAAATCATTGTTGTCTTTTAATCTGTTTTTGCCTTCACACCTACTAGGTGGTCATCCATAGCTGCTTGTGTTCAGGCAATTACAGGTTATCACTCATCCTATAAACCACAGGATAAATACCTCTTTAATTATGGTTGGCAATTGCTGCCTCTTTACACAATGCATTTATTAAGGTCAAGGTATAGATTTCAGAACAGTGTGATTTGCCAGGTCTTTACAGATTATGAGTCATGGACTTCAATTGAAAATCATCTGTATAAGGAAGTACAAGCTGATCTGGAGAGGCAATTTGAGACATTAATTGGTTCAGTTTCTAATTCTAAATTTCAAAATATATTTTGAGGATTAATTCTAGTTGACTGTAGTTGCACAAGTGTCTTCTTACAGACACAGAATTGATATATTTTCCTGAAGCAACATACTATAATATAGAGTACTTTAAAAGACTTAATGTTTTAGTATTACTTTTCATTAATGACTACATGAAATTTTTCCTCTTGCAGGATCCTTGTCTGATCCCCCCAACATTGCTGGGCTTAGTCATTTTTGTGAGCATATGTTGTTCCTGGGAACCAAGAAATATCCAAAAGAGAATGAGTACAGCCAATTTCTAAGTGAGCATGCTGGGAGCTCAAATG